CTTTTCTGTTCCAAATTTGGTGAAGGAATTAAATTAATCTGTGGCTTGCACTCAGCTGTCAAACACAAGGAAAGCCTAATGATATTAAACATATTTAGTAGGATTAGCTCATGCACTGATTCACCTTGTTCAGTTCAGACAACACCTAATGGGTTTCATCCATGGTGGGCTAGTTGTTTTTGCAAAGTATTTGTGCTGAGACCAACAGTTGATTCTTCTTTCCACCTTGTTCCTCCAATCAGTATCCCAGGGAACACTGTGTGTAGGCAAGGGTCTCCTTGCTCTGACAGCTGCAATTGTGGGCTAATTTTGGCTTGCCATAGGTGTCTCTTTAAATTTCAGTTCATCTCCATGTCCTATAAACAATATTTCCCTTTTTAAAAGGAGGGGTTGGGGTGTACTTTACCCTTTTTCAAGTGCCCTGGGAGTCAAAATAAAAGGCAAAGGTTGCTCCCTCATGGAAAATAAAAGGGAGAAACACAGAAGAGAAGAGAAGAGCTGCTGTTTGAAAAAACAGCCCCATGAGCAAAAGGTGCCTCATGCCTTTGCTTTCAATGGCTAGATGAGGTAAAGGGAATTCCAGAAGGGGCAAACTGCAGGGGCTGCCACTGGCAAATGAGCATCTCCAGCCAGAGCCCTAGGATTTCCTCTGCTCCTTGCCAAGGTACCACACACTGCCTCAGCAATAAGGAGCTGCTCTCAGCCATGTTTGCTGAACCCTTGAGAAGTCCCCAAAGGAGACCACAGGAGCAGCCAACAAGGGTGGCCAGTAGCAATTCTCCCTTTTGTCCAGTGTGCTCAGGAAAGGAGGAAACTGCTCACATGTCACTCAAATCAGCTGGCAATCCAGCTCCAGCAGAGCAAGGGGACAACCTCTGCCAGCTGCTCAAAACTACAGATTCATCACTTTGAGAGCAACTGGTAACAGCAGTCAGCAGACAGCCACTTGGCAAGAGCATCAAGGAAATTTTGCTGCTCTGTCCAAGCTGCTCACTGGCTGCAGGATCTCGCCTAGGGTGGGTTGTGTTATCCCTGATGGACCACATGACAAGTCACTGTGGTTGACCAGAACCATAGAACACATCACCAGCAGCACAGGGTGGCTTGTTTGAAAGCCAAAGCCAGTGCCTGCCACCGGAGGTGAAGTGGACCCTGTTAGCAATAAGAATGGAAAACCAGAATGGGTTGCCATGTTATCTAAATCCAGCCATGGTCCCTATATGTTGGCACCTTTAAATTATGGCTGACTCACAATAACTGAGCAGGTAAGTTTCATGCAGTGCCTCCATATGTTTCCTGAGGGGTTTGCCTCTCAGCACTGCCTCTGGCCTTGATTTCACAAGCAGAAGGTAATTTAACACTGGTAAAAGTTGCATCAGTGACTAAGGCCAGTCCAGTCCAGTTCAAGCTAAGGATTTTCCTGAATCCCAACTGGCTTCTATGTACAGCTGAAGGGAATCATGACTGAAGTTGATCTGGGAGGGGGGTGGAGGGGGTCAAAAGAACTACAACTCTGTATTTAAATACAATTCTATTAATGTCATCAGTTTTCCACCTCTGCTTTATCCATGGAAAAGAAAATCAGCAATGCTCCAGCTTCCCAAGATCTGTGAGTTCCACCTCTGAGTTAGGTCCATCACATTCCCATTCCATATGGAAAGCTTCCTCCCTCTCCTCAGTTCAAATAGAAGTAAAATGCATTTGGGTGTGCTTAAAAAAAATCCACATGTAAATGCACATTTTAAAAATTGCACACTTTTGTAAAGTATGGCTTTTTTGAACAGGCATCACAAGCCCAGGAAAGTGCAAGTTACATCTGCAAAATACACAAGCACTTTCATTTGGAAGTGTTTAATTTCTGGGCTTCAACTAACATGAAAAAGATGTTCATGCTTCAAGGTGTTCATTTTAACATAAGGCCCTACACAGTTTAGAACCTGAATATCTAAAGGAACATATCCGTCCAGATAAGCCTACGTGGACCCTAAGATTTTCATTGGAGGTCTTGCTCCCAAAGCTGCTTTTCAAGGATGCGAGGAAGGTGACTACCCAGTGTAGGGTCTTTTCAGTTGTGGTAGAATCAGCTCCCCAGGGATATGTACCAGGCACCTTCCTTGTACACCAGGCAAAGATTTTTTAATTTTTGTAGCATTTTAACTGTTGACAGTTTTAATTCATTTTTAATTCTAAATTTAGCTTAGTATTTTAATTTATGAATTAAAAAAATTAATTCTTATTTAAATATTGGCAAGTGGGCATCTTTTCTGGATGGCCAGATGAACTAGAATTTTGCTGGCCTATTTGGCAACAGAGGAACAGGCTGCCTAGGTTAGATATCTCATGTGTTGGGGTGGGTGGTGGGGAAACTATGCCGAAGGATTTCAGGATATGTTAACTTTTTACTATTCTATTTCTTTTGAGCAAGACAGAAAGGGAGTTATTAGGGTAGCCCACAATCATTAGCCATTATTCTACCAGAAACTGCAAGAATAATATTCTATTATCCAGTTTCCCAAGGAGTTCTCCCTCTGTGTGCATGTGTGTATGAGTTGCTGTGCAAAGAGGGAATGAGTACACTTTTGCAGCTGGAAATAAAGATAATAGATTTGGAGTAGTTCACCCTATATTAAAACAACTACAGCTCTCTTTCACTACTACCGACCAGCCTGTTGCCAGCGTCTAGAAACATGCCACTGAAACATTAAAATTGTAGTTCCTTTTTCAATTACAAGGTTCGATTTGCTAGGTCTAGATCTTTCAGAAATTGAGTCGGGTGTCTAGTGCCACAAAATAATCTTATCTGCAGCTGCTCTTTGATTTTAAAGAAGGCACGTGAAAACCCAATTTTAGCTCAAGGGAAGGAACCATCTTTGCACTGCAGAATGGAGAGCTAGGTGCTTCCACCACCACAGGAGTCATCATTGTGCAGTGATGGCACTGAAGGGCATTAAAATAAATCAGAGGAAATTAAAATGCTACTATAGCCTTACATTTTGCTTCTCAGTAACGTTTGCTACTGTTGTAGGCAATTGAGATACTTCCAGTCAAATAATTCTGAATATTCTTTCAAAAGTATGCCGAAATAAATAATGTTACTCTGGGAGAAGAGAAGAGAAGAGAAGAGAAGAGAAGAGAAGAGAAGAGAAGAGAAGTAAAGCTGCCCTTCAAACCAAAAATTATTTTAAAAAAAAAAACCTTTAGGAACAAATGAATAATGATATTTCTGCATGAGATGCAATTTTTTTTCAAGAGCAGTATCTCTTGGACTATGTCCAGAATTAATTAGACCATAATCCCATGGCCTTTTGACATCACCTAGGAGATGACAGAATTTTCAGAGTCTCTGCATCAAGGTCCTCCAACCTCTGTGCTTGGTCTCCAAAGGACCTGCTCTTGTCCTCTCCTTTGCAAGGGAAGGGACAGTGGCATGGAGTTCCACTGATTCTGAGTGGTGCTCCATCCTCCTCCTCTCCCTTCCCACCAATCCTAAATCTAGACAGCTGAAAACAACCATCTGGACAAGGTAGGATGCCACCTGCAGCAGCAGCAGCACAAATGCCTTCCCCAATGACTTGTGCCTTGCATTTGATGCTCGTAAGCCTCTTGGATCAGAGGCCTGTGAGCACTAGCAGCAGAGACAGTCAGATTGTGCCCTAAAGCACTCAGCTTCAGGAACGGATGCTAATATTCATTCGGCCAAAGTTGATTGGATTGTTTATTTCACAGTGTCATTTCTGGGGCTGTAATCCACCTTGACAAATATATGAATACACTTTAGGGTCGTCACCTGAATAAAATAAAATTTAATATATTTGATGGCTTCCCTGGAAACAAATAGGGAAAAATGATTTCCCAGTTACTCGGCTAAATTTAAATCTTTCATGTAAGAGACTTAATGGGCAGCTGTGCGACACCATATAAAAACTGAAACAATCTGTGATGTGCTACCATTGAAGTTCAGAATGAAATCTCAGTCCATCTGTAAGAGAAAAGGCAAGAAAGAGCTTCACAAAAGATTTCATCAAAGTATTACTCAATGGCATTACATTGTTAATAAAATTTCTTTATCTGAAACTATAATTTAATATTCATGTATCTAATTTACATGTGACAAAGTAGCATATTCTAAAATTAGAGTGTAACCAGCAAACTATTGACTACTGTAAACAATACAAAAAATAAACACAACCCAAACATTTCCTAGTAAACAAAAAGATACAACTCTTAACTTGGGAATTGTTTTAGTTGTTGATACTGGTTGAAACATAGCTTTAACTATGGCTTGAAAAGAATTGTTCAAGCACACAAACCCTTTTTGTGTGTGAAAGGATCTTGTGTATATACATAAAGTCCAAGAGTATACTACCAAAATTCTCTTTACTGATTTATGGTTGGAACTGGAATAATAGTGAATGCCTGAATTTTTGGGAAAGAAAAAATTCAAACCACTATGTATATTTGTTTCCTGACCTATCTGATATTTTTTCTCATGTAAGCTGAAACAAAATGCCATTTCCTTAATATTTTGATGCTTGACAGTGAAAAAAACTTATTGTAAAGTTGTGACTGGATATTAGACAGCAGCCGTCCTGTCCAAATATTAGTGGCCTTAACACTTATGACAGGTGTGCATTATGCTGAAATTGAGAAATTATGTGCATTTTAAATAAAAAGAGCAACTACATACAGAACAAACAGTGAATCTTAACAGAATCAACATGCACTAACCCTACTCTTATGCAAAATTAATTTCTTCCAGGAAACTGCATCCGACCTTTGGCCTTCCACAAAGGTATATGTTTTGTCCCTTGGTAATACATTTGGACTTTTGTATTCAAATCCCAGTTTATTAGCTCATTGTCACAAAATGTGCTGTTCCACTGGTATATCCTTTAGCTGCCCGTGGGCTTCCATAGAATCTGCTCTCTTATAGTCATTTTTATTTATGGTTTTAGTGAGCATCACTGAAAGTCTCCTCAGTTCTGTACAAATAGGCTTCTTTATTCATCTTCCTCTGGTTCTTGTGATAAAATTGGTGCGTCCTCCTTTAAACAAGCACTAAAGAAGCCAAGAATTGTGCTATAAAGGTGATATTTACTCTTCTCTGATGTGATATAATGACCTTCATCTGGATAGATCTAGGTGAAGAAAAGTAAAAAAGAAACAGACTTTAAAAAATCAGAAATATAGAACTCTTTCATTTGTTTTAAATGCTTTTGCATCAACACAGAATGAATGCATTAGGCAGTATTACAGCTTCATTGAAAACTCATAAAATTCAAGCAAAAAACCCACTAATATTCTTGATATTTTAAACCAGTATTTAATAGCCTGAACTGAAACCTTTAGCACTAAATGCATTTTCACATTTCTATTTAAATGCCCTTTCTGATACAGATTTTCAGAATAGTTTTTGATAAATAGATACTTAGCTTGAATCAAATATTGATGGCAACATCTGAAATCCTTAGAACTGCCTGATATTCATCCTCATAAAGATGTGGATCTAATATAAATTATAAACTCACTCAACGGTTTGTTCTATGAACAAATAGCTTCTACCCACATACTGGGTAGGTCTGCATAGAACTATGGCTAGTATTTGCATATTGATGATAATCCTACATTGCACTGGAGCTTTTCTGGTTGGGCAGCTGATGGAATAGCACAAACATAAAACCCCTCAAATTGTATCCATGATTAATTCTGCAAATAAAAAATCTCTACTGCTTATGAAAAATCCATTATCACTTGCATAACTGACAGATGCTGTACTCGTCACAAGCTGTTTGCAAGGGGCAGCGTGTAAGCTGATTCACAAGTTGTTCTCCATGGAGCTTCACAGGCACAAGGTGTAAGATCAGAATTACCTCAGATTAAACCACACTGAATATTTCAATAAGTTTCTAGTACTCATTGTAGTTTGACCTGAGGTGACCCTGATCTTATCCCATTCAGTATATAGGCTTCTCCTAGTTGCCAGAGACAGACGTAGAAAGTTAATTCCTCAGGTGTTCAGTGGCCAAGTTTTGCTTCTACTACTTGAAGATTTCTACAGAATGATAGTAGTAAAACATGACCTTACTAGCTGCATCCACAGGTTAACAGGAGACAAGAAACATAAGACAGTTTTACAAACAGATATAATAATGGCTCTTCTGTTATATTAAGAATTTCTAAACAACATATGTTGACTATAACTTCTAAATATTTTGTTGTATTAGATAGAAAAATAATCATATCAATACATGTTATTTTTATAAATATAAATATTTGCATATTATTCTTTTGAAGTTGTCCTTTATGAGAGGAAAAGAAGGGGAAAACCCAAGGAAAGACAGTACCAGAGGGTTAAACTGGGCCTTATTATTTAACTTTGGTGGACTTATCATCCCAGGATTTGTGTATACCAAGCATGGGAACCTGAGTACTGTTTTATGAGCAACTTGCCTGTCTATTTGGCAAGCCCCTCCACTAAGAAAGGTGGTGGGCTAGATCCCCACACCCTTTCCCCAAGCTACACATAGACAAGAATCTTTGTGTCACTTCTCCTCAATGCTGCACAGAAGTAGATAAAACAGCTTGGTCACAAAGCAAACTGCGTGGGCCTTGGGGACCTGGGTGGTGGGCCACACAGTCCACGAAAACTAGGCCTCAGGACTTGCCAGTCATGAAAAAGGTGCCCATGAGCGCCCAGCAACCCTACTCCTTGACCGTTCCCACATGCCCCTATTGAAGCCAATCAACACACTTAACCATGCTCAACAGTTACAGCCAGTGTTGGGCAGGTGAAAAAAAACTGTCACCAGGCCAGTCTGGTAAAAATTCCCTACTCAGCCCCTGACTGGCTAATCCCGCAGTGCAACAGGGTTAGTGGGCCGGAGCCACCAAGCATGAAGCAAGAGTGAAGGCTGGCGCAGAGGAGGCTGTTACACTCCCTCCTTCCTTCCACCCACAGGTTCCACAGATGAGGTGGTACGATCACCTTGTCATGCCTGCCTCTTGCAAACTGCTGTTCCCCGCACAATCCTTGTGTCACCGTGAAGGGGATGGCTGTATTGGGCAGGGGAAGATATGCACTTTACACTCTATATTCTGCTTTTCTATTTGAACTACCTAAATATAGACTGGATTAGATTTAAGTTCCTACAACTGGGCTGAGCCATCAGTTCCACTGCACAGTAAGGACTTTATTCATGGAAGGCGCCTCCACTCGATTCGAAGTTTCACCCTTTCCTTTTCACCACAGCCTGCCTCCAACCAGCAGGGCCTTCCAGCTCTCTCTGTAACACTGGGGAGGGGGGTTGAAGGGGCAAGGAAATTGCTTCTATCAGCTGATTGCATGTGAATCTGGAGTCACCTTTATGCTTTGTACAGATGCCTTACTTTGAGGGTACTATTTGAAGTGAATTAAATAATATACATAGGCTAGACAAAGGTTGCAAGTGTATGGGCTTCAAATACCTGCAAGGAAAAGGAAGAGTGGGAGAAACCTTCAACATTGGTAAAAATGAACGTACACAGGGAGATCCAGCTATGGGCTCCTGACACTGTCAGGTGGAGTCACAGATCGGCCTGAACCCCAGCTCTCACATCCTGGGACCTCTGAGCTGGGACATCGTATGTAGAGCACCTGTCCCAACCCCCTTGCCATTGAGTGCAAAAAGAGCTGTGCCAGCTGCCTCCCTGAAGCCAGAAAGCATCCTTCTGGAGGAGGAGAAAGGATCTGCAGAACAGGGAGGGGTGATTGGTGCCATGTCCAAATGGTGTCCTGGCCTCCTTACCTTTCCCCCCATTTCTTCTAGATGGTCAAAAACACCTGCCCAGAAGAAAGTGGCAGTGCTGAACATTGCCACTGCCACCCCTCAGTCTGTGAAGTGGATACACAGAAGTCTCTGAGCTTAACAGAGCATTCAGCACAGAGAGCATGAGACTGTACACTGAAATATGCACTAAGCTCTAGAGACTCCTGAAGGTTACCTACCTGCATAGTGTAATTCACTCCGGCTTTTATTAGATGTTTAATTAATTCTGCTGAATGCTGGAAATGGACTTTAGCTAAGAGACAACAACATATGAGTGAAAGGCATCGTTAATGTGAATCTGATCAGAAGGTTTGCTATAACACTGTCTAGACTTCATTATAATGTTGAGCCACCGTTATCAGCTGTTGAGCAAGTCAGATATGCATGAGATACCATCCTTTCCTAGCATTTGTAGAAAGATATTTCTTGCTACATGAGAACAGCTGTAGTATGGTAGTGAAGAAGTTAGGTAATTTATAACACAATCCTATACTTGTGCATTCAGAAGTAAGTCCCATTAAAGTCCAATAAAGCAAACTTCTGGGTAAATCGGTATATGGCCACTGCTCACGCTTCGTATCAGCTTGTTTGATATACGAGTGGTAAGTGCTCTTTGAGTTCCTATCTGTTGTGACCTAACGACATGTTCAGATGCTGTGGAAGCTTTTCATCTCTTGTAGTCAGACTTGAAGCTGGAAAAGCACAAGTATTACTGGAAGGAAGGGAAACCGCCATCTGATAATAATGCAACTGGACTTCAACAGAGAGTTTTCATCAAGGAATTAGAATGCAGCCTATGGACTTGAGAAGGGCTGTCAAAATGGGTGTGTGTCATATCCTGTCATCCAGTTGCTTCTGAATATATGGCTATGTGCCTTCTATATGTATGGTATTTACCATGCCATTTGTATCTTTGTAAATATGTTTGAGATAAAAGCATTTTGCATGGAACTCAGGTCTTCCTTTATGCTTAGATACAGTATAGGATGGAAACCACAGTCTCAGCCTGAAAAATATAACCCCTCATAGTGATGGACATTTTGCTAGGCTTTGATAAGCTGCTATAAATGCACTTAAAAGGTTAATTTTGTATTGTATGCTATAGGCTTTTCCCTGACATTTCTATTTTGCCAATGGCAGAATCAGGGATAATTTATGAAAATGATTAAATATTGATGCTGTGTTATTAATATATGTTACCTTCTATAAATGCCACAGTGTTTTATAAGTTTTAAACAAATTGGTATCTACATCTGCTAAGAGTTACAAACAGTCAGTTAAAAGAAGTGTCATTGGTTCAGATCTAAAACTGTAAACTGAGTCTGACAACTAGATCTTGAAGGGCATACAAAGCTCAGTATTACCAAAATTATAAACATATAATTTGGGGTGTGTGTGTATGTATCTAGACACACATACACACACCAAATTTTATATATACATATACATACACAGACACCACTCTGTTTCAGTGCCCACCTTTCTCTGAACTTTGTGTGACAAGCTGCAACATCAAATGGAACTGTTTGCATGTCAGTACTTACTATCTGCTGTTCCGTGAATGATTAACAAATTTTCTTCTTTAAAGCCGTGAATATTGTGCAGTACACTGGATGCCTTTGGGGAAGAAACACACACGTGTGTATATCTGTGACTGGTTTACATAACAGATGTCCCTCAAAGCCCATCAATCCATCCATCCATCCATAATAGGCCTTGCTCACCTGATAAGCATTTTCTTCCTTAGATGGAATGCCTAAGTACCGTTCTGAAAAAGCTGATGCTATATGTGGGACAGAGGGAACAATTAGTTCTATGCATTTTTGTCCACTGAGGTGTGTTTGCATCTATAGGCCTGATGATATTTAACTAGGACAAAAGGTAAAAGGGACAAAGAATCTACCACAATTCTTCTATTGTTAAGTTTTTGCCACATCTGTCTTCATATTTTATATAATGTCTCAACCATCTCACAGGCAGGGAGAACAGTCTGATTTATACAGAATACTCACCATACAATCTCATGTCTGTGATTGGTGCAATCACAGCTCCACACTTGAAAAGCCTTTCGTTGGACTTGAGAATCATTGATGCAATGTAGCCTCCATAGCCCTACAAAACAACCTAATGTGAGTTAAAATGTGCCCATTACTGCCTTCAGAAAACTGTATTTTCTTGCATAGTTACACAGCATTTACACCCACTTCTATGGCTTTTTGATCTTCTGTAAGTTATAAAAAAACAATTAAACAGAAATAGAAACTGTTTAAGTCAGATCCCTCATACTCAGAACAACCTAGGAGTACAGAAACAGAATTAAAAAAAAAAAAACCCTTCAGTGAGGGAGTAATCATTTTTCAATTGCAGATCACTCTGTCTCTGATAAACATCATTCCTGCCAGTCAGCATTCTATGGGCATTTTTCAAAATCTGCTCACAATTTATACATTCTTACACAGAAGAATGCATCATTCTAATGAAGAAAAATGTTGAAATACTTCAATGAAAAAATGTTTCAAACTGTTTGTTTGTTTTATTTCTCTTCAAGTAGATAGAGTAGTCCAAAGGGGAAAAATGCAGATTGGTTCCATACTTCTAAGAAACAAGGTTCAAGGCCTAGTAACTCTAATTTAAAACTTATAGGATCATTAGTAGAGTTAGGCTGTCAGTTTTTCCTGCTTCAATACCCCCTGGGAAGGGGAAAGTAATCTTTTGAAACTAGATATCTTTTGCAACTAGATAATATATCTTTCCCCTTAACTGATAATTCTGTGCAAAGTAAAAAGTACATTTTTCCAAGGATCTATGAGTTCTCATAGCATGAACTTTCCTTGTGTTTTGTGATATTCTATGTACGAAAAGGAATGCTTTCTTTAGTTTGAAATATGATACATTTTAGGGGGGTCTTACTTAATCAGACATTAGCCATAGCTACTCAAAACAGACACAGAAATGTAATGTTTAAAAAAATCATACAGAACTGTAAAATACAAACTTAGTATGGACATTATTGTTAGGGATGTGCAGAAATTAATTCTTAGGTTTCCCAAATTAATTTTCAAATACCCATTTGCAATATTTAGGTGTGATCACTTAGAATAATCCTTGACAATGGTTCACAGAGGACATAAAAATGAAGCATCAAACCAATCTTATTCATACCACCCAGACCAATGTATACGCATTATTTTGTTTTGGGGTTTTTTAGATTACTTTTTCCCATACTATTTTTCCATAGCTCCTTCAATTGCTGCTCTCTTGCCTCCCTCACCACCACACCCAGATGTCTCTTTCTGATTTGCAATTGTCTCCCCTCCTTCCCCCTTTGAAAAAAAATAAAGTTTGTGATTTTTTTCAAGATTTCCTGAGTGTATTGTTTGTCGTCCTGCTCAAGAAACAAGTATACTCAAATTTGAGTTAAAAACAAACAAGCACAAAACAAAGAAACCTTTACAAAGGGACATTTCCTTGCATGGATCTTCTTTCCAGCTTCTGAGCAGATATGCAAGTATCCTCAAAAGCCACAACTCACAACTACATCATCACTGAAGTCAGCATGGAGGGAACTCTACTTGACTGCTTTTTGGTGATGGGAAAGCGAATACAGATATCATTGGTTTGGAAAAGCAGAAGCAAGCAACAGCAGCCTTTCTCCTTCTCCATGAATTTGTGAGGGTGCGGAAGGAGATGTCAGTTATTTCTCCCTCGTTTAAAAAATATTTCCACTCTTTTGCTCTCTTGCACCTAGGCATAGCTAACTCATGGGAAAGTCTGCATAGGAGGTGGCTGAACTTGCATGGTTTGCAATGGAAGGAGCAAGAGTGCTGCTAGCCTCACTCTTCATCCTTGGGGCAGGGGTGGGGGGGAGAGGGGAGTCACGAGGGCAGGAGGAAGCAGCAGCACCTGTCCTTCTATTCCATGATTTGGAGAGAGAATAGGAAGAGCTGTCAATTCCACCCTGTTCCTTTTGGCTTCTTTTCCTCCTTCACACCTGCACATCCACCCAGCCATTGCATTTTTATACTGCCCAATAGCTGAGGCTCTCTCATCTCACTTTCCATTGTTAACATCTCATTTTCCATTGTTCAAATGTACAGGAACACCAGCTGCTTATTATGTGAGTCATTACGTGCCAACGTTCTACAGTGAATACACCATGCAAAGCATTTCTCATCTCCTCAAGAATTGCATTTCATACTTTATTGGCACACGCCAACAAATATCCATGCTGACTAGGCCAGTGGGCTTGTATTCCCCCACTGTTAGATGCCCCTTATGAGTTTCAAGAGGGCAGTCCAGATCTTGGTAGCATTTACTGATATGCTTTGAAGTAAAAAGGAACTACCCACAGTCATCATGTTATAGGGTAGCATGTGATTGCCATCATGACAAATTTTGTTCTGTGAGCAAGAGGGTAACAATGTCAAGCACACCTTGCAAATTTTTGTGCCCCTTTTTCTTTTTTGAATGTGTAGCATTTTTCAGAGCATTATCAATAGTTCCTTACTCAGAAATAATATTTGTGAGATCTGGATAGAATGTTGAAGAGGACTATAATTGTTCTTGTGACTTTTCAGTTTGTCAAATGATTCTGTTTGAATGACATGGCAGAAATAGTGCCGCAAGGCTTGGTAGTTGCTTCCAGATCTGGATATGGCCTTCCTGCAAGTCCTCTGGAATCACTGAGCTCAAAACAAACATGCACAAGAACAAGGAGACCTTGTTCCATGCACACACCGTTTCCATGCACACACCTCCTTTCCAATTTCTTCTGCCACATTCTCAAATCAGGACAAATCATGGCAACGTCCAGCTACCCACACCCATGACCAGTACAGGGAGCATTTATGAGACATGGAAAAATGGCACAAAACCTGTGGATATCCTGCAACAAGTCTTGCTGCGGACTAAGGAATGTGGAATGTGGAAATGGCAGTACCATGATGAGGCTAGGTGTGCATCCAGCCATGGACTTCTAAGATAATGACCAATGCCTGTGTGATAATCCAATAAATATGTTTTATCTGATACAGAATAAACCTCCTCAGGGTTCTCATGCTACAGCATTCACTGTGAGATGTTCACCTGGAAAGGCTACAAATGGTAGATGCCAAAGGTTATGTCCTTCACCCCGAAGAAGCAAACATCAGCATCAAAAGATGACAACTTTGCAAGTTTAGACAGGCTATACTGGGATTTGAAGGCCTGTTTTCCATCTAAAGTTGAACAAACTTTTGTATGTGGAATTCTAAAAGCAGTTGAGAGAGAGTGAGAGGGTGATAGAGAGAATGGCTGTTAGGATCTATTTAACTTTTTTGATAAAGGTGAAACCATTTGTCTGGCACTTCAATTTAATCCGAGGGTCAATGACACCCAACAGCTGACAGACTAACAAAGGGCATCTTACACAGATGGCACAAAAAAAATGCAACTCATAACACAATGGGCTGTAAATGGGTTTGCATGCGAAATGTCTATGAAAAGGGGCAGGTTAAAATTAATAGCCAACCACTTTACATTTTTATAAGGGGCTTCTTTAAAAAAAAAAAAAGATCAAAACAAATGTGTTTGGGCATTCAAATGAAGGAAGTTGTCCTGACCCTTAAACCTGCTCCATCTAATAACAAATTTTCCCTTGTAAACTTCGAATACCCAAATGAAAATGAGTGAGTGAATAAGATGAAAATTGCATGCTTCACTTAAACTTTAGGAGAAAATAACTAAAATAATTAGATATACTAGAAGCGTGATCCAGCCAAATGTTGTACCTCATGCTGATTTTAATAGGTGAGCTGGTTTTGTGTTTGAGTGAATGAATGTCATGGCTCGTGCCGAAAGGACTGCCACCTGTTATGCAGAGGACCCTGAAACTGCAGTCCTCCTCCATGACACAAAGAGCTGTGCAGGGCAGGAGGAACTGTAGATGCTTTACCCATCTCTCCACTCACCTTTGTGAAGTTCCTGCCAGTCAGGACCCTGTCTGGTGCTACAGGCTGACAGGAGTGGGGCCAGAGGCTGGGCCTCTTTTCTCTTCCCCCACCCTGCCCAGCAGAATGGTCCCTCCCTTTCCATCCTCTTCCCAACCGGGTTGAGGAGTTACGGCAGAGACTACCATGGTAATGGGAAGGAAGGAAGGAGGGAAGTATAGATCTCCTTTAAGAAGGGGCCCTGTTTCTGGTCTTGGTGCAAGGAATCCATAGCATTCAAAGTACCAAAGCCAGACTGCCTAATGCAAAAGTGCTTGGAGCTAAATAGGTACATCTCTTGAAGCTCCTTCTCAACAATGCCTCCCAAAGGTTCAGCAAGAGACAACATACTCTTAATGAGAAGGAGACTGTACTTTCTAATTCTTACCTTTCCAAAAATGCTCAGCCTGTTAGAGTCCACAAATGATTGCTTCAATAAGTACCTATAATAGGGAATGTAACATATTATTCAAAGTCATGATTCAACAATGCTCTTTCCTGAGGAAAGAATGTTCATATTTATAACCACTGCAAAGATTTAAAAGGAATATTAAATAAAGGTTGTATTATTTTGCTTCAGGCTTGGAACTTCATCTTGATCACATTAATACTACCTGCAGGATGCTGCTAAGTGTTATTGTGATGATCTTCAAAAATAAGATTTATCTTACACAGGAAATGCATCAACAATACTCATGGGAGGATGATAGTAAAATAAAGATTAAACTTTAATGAGCCGTTCTGAGCCTGTGGCACAACTGTTGTTACCCCAGCATAAGATTTCAAGAAAAAAAAAGGGTATTAGAAACACAGTGTCAAAGCACAATGCAAGCACTGAATGGTGATGGAAGTTCACCATTTTGGCCATTCTGAAGAAGCCCAATACTGAATGATAAGCTTTTATTTTTCCTCTTTGGAGACTGGTGTTCAGATTGCAATCACTTTGTCTTTAACCAGGCTCCTATGACAGCCTCCACCACGTGGAGTATTTCCATGCCATTCAGCTATCAAGTCCTGAGCGGACAATCAAAGGTGCTGCACAATGCCTGTGTGTGTGTGTGTGTGTGTGTGTGTGTGTGTGAGAGAGAGAGAGAGAGAGAGAGAGAGAGAGAGAGAGAGAGAGAGAGAGAGAGATTATGTACAGTACAGTCTGATACATTTTTAGACTATTGTAGCTGCATCATACAATGTATTTCCTCTACTCATTCACGTGTTTGCCTGAAGCAAGATCACAGCTCCTAATTCGGGATGCATACTTTCTTAAGGAAAGCAGTTTAATCTGCAGCCCCTATGTACATTTCCCTGTAAGTAAGTCCCATTGAACAAAGGGGAACTTCCTTCTAAGCAGACATGTATAGAACTGTGCTGTGAAGAAGATCAACTTTAAGTATAAACAATACTAAATCATTTTCAGGCAACCAGATCTGTGGATCAGCTTTTGCTGCAGTAGTTCATTGTGCTGAAACAGGCTTCTTTGCTTGGGAGCAGGGAGGAGTGGGAACAGGGTACCCTGTAGTTGCTTAGTATGTTTTAAGCATTTATGTATAGCATCTGGAACTCAATCTCCATCATGAATGATTTCTAAATAATAAAACATTGGATAATGGAACACCAATCAGACTAGACCTAGTGGTTTGCTTTATCAGAGTTTATTTTACTCGAACTCTTCTTGCCATCAAATGTATTACAATGATCCAGTGCAGCAAAGATATAAAGTTCAATGCATTTCTGATCTGTTGTATCCATCTAAGAATTATATTTGTAAAAAATAGAAGAAATGTTTGCACATACGTACTCTACCGCTGCTATCTGGTCCTTCACTTCCACGGATCCTAAGGAACGGTGGACTTCTTGCAGAATCTTTAAGCCTTGAAATCCACTCCCTCGTCCATCAAACTGAGCAACGATGACATTATCAGAGTTGACAAGCACAGTATCCCAGTCAATGTGAAACTTATCTGTAACCAACTGGCTGCCTGGAGCTTCATCACTGTAAATACCAACACACCGGACACAAACAAAGGCTATTGACAACAGGAGGCACTTTGCAGTTCTATGTTGTATTAAACCTGGATGGCAGAGTTCATGAGGAGTTACGCAATCCAGCAGAATCATTGTCAGTTTAATCTATAAAAGCACATTAACTACTGCTGCTCTCCCTTATGGAAGTAGCAGCCACAAATACCTTCTTGAACTGTACAGAAATAAGCTGTTGAGATTAACATGTTGCTTACCAGACTCCTAGTCAAAAGCTAGCAAGGAGGATGTGTCTTTTTACCATTTACCAATGGCTTGCCAAGGTCTTGCCTGAAATCTTTTCCTTCCCCTGCTATCCAGACTATTTTAGCTGGAGATGCCAGGGACTGAAGCAGCCATTTTTTCCTGCAAAGCCCTCAGCTATAGCAGGATAGAGACTGCACAGGGGACAGGTAGATGGAAATAATTGCCATGTTAAGATCCATAAGTTAATGTGAAGCTGAACAAAAATCTGGATTTAACAATAGAATGGAATACAATTAGACATTTTTATGGGTAGTGTTTTCAGGGAACTGGAAACCTGCCTACATTCTGGTAAATCATATTGTCTTCTCCTAATTAGCACCAGCAGATGAAGGGGAAAAAAGGGGATCTAAATTGATTTTTAAACCAATCTACATAATGCTGCACATCCGCTGTGCGTGGACCAACTGCCTAGATCCTCAATTCTGCATTTTCATATCTGGTGTGCATGTGGCATAAAATCAGCAGCAGAGGATGGATGAGTATTTCAGGCATTTTCTTCATTTGACGTAGTGGTGAAGAGCACGGGACTGGGACTCAGGCAACCTGGGTTCGAGTCCCCGCTCAGCCATGGAGCCAACTGGGTGACTTTGGGCCAGTCACGGACACTCAGCCCAACCGACCTCACAGGGCTGTTGTTGTGGGGATAAGATGGAGGAGGAGAATGATGTAAGCTGCCTTGAGCCCTTTGTAGGAAAAAGGCAGGATATAAATTGAAAAATAAATAAATAAATTTGGTTCGGAGTCCTTGAGCAAAGAAGGTGCCAGAACTTCTGCAGTACCCCTTTTCCTTAACAACGTGCTCACCCTAGCTGTGTTTACCACATCTTTTGCAAGGTAGCTCAAAAGCTTCTTGACCAGAACACTGGTGCAGGGAAGATGGGAAAGTTAGTTGTAACCCTTTCCCACTGTTTCTGTTTGTTCTGACAGGTGTACAAGCACTGTAGTGAAGCCGCTGCAGCCTCCCTTCTGTTTCTCTCACTCCAAGTAGCAAAGGGGACCTCTTAAAGCTTAAGGAAATGAATATATCTACATCTATCTAATTCAGGGGAAAATGTTCAGTTTAGAAGTGTATAAAATAGAGAAGTAACTATATTATGTGACGGGAGTAAGAAATTCTGGGATGGGTGAATAATTCACTTCAAACTGGTTATTTTCTTTCACCATTCCTGCAAATTGGTTTCCTTTTGAAACAATGAAATGTTACTTTTGAGAAAGGAAGTTAATAATTTTCTGTCAAGCATAAATATTAGCCCATAGTGCAAGTTAGCAAGGAGTTCTATTCACTATTTAGGTAACACTGTATGCCAGTAGAATTAAAACAAATGTAACTTGTCTTGCACAGTGTATGGAAACTGGATTGAATAGCTTCTACATGAACACTGTTTAGATTTATTTATCTATAATTTAATAGATCATTGTTATTTCTTTATCCTCATGAAGGATAGAGGAGAAATAAAATATAAATGCATAAATAAATAAATAAATAAATAAATAAATAAATAAATAAAGGCAATCAGTTCAGTCATTTTTGTTCCTGGGAGGATTTTAACTCCTGGACTTGGAGAAAATCATCTGTCGGTATTGCATTGCCACTTTAGAGCAAGAGAAGTATCTGGCCTGCCACAACATTGCAACAAAGAACTATCTGCTGGATATTCAGTGTGGTGTAGTGGTTAAGAGCATGGGACTGGGACTCAGGCGATCTGGGTTCTAGTCCCCACTCGGCCATGGAGCCAACTGGGTGACTTTGGGCCAGTCACGGACTCTCAGCCCAACCTACCTCACAGGGTTGTTGTTGTGGGGATAAGATGGAGGAGGAGAATGATGTAAGCTGCCTTGAGCCCTTTGTAGGAAAAAGGCAGGATATAAATTGAAAAATAAATATCAGCTAGATCACAGTTATCTTCTAAGTCACCTCTTAACAATGATTCAGTTTGTAATTATGAGCATAGTCTCGGAAAATAACCCCTGGTGCTTTGTTAATTATAAGAGCTTTAACTATCTTTTTTCATTCCGTACCTTCTTGCTTGGTTCCTCTTGCTTGTCTTTTTGCCAGGTTTTAGGTTCCTTTGCATTCAAGATACAGCTCTGGTCAGTGTCAAAGGTGCTAGTCAAAATGACTGCTAGCACAGAGGAAAGTCACAGTTCCTGAAACACTTCTTCAGTGGAGTCCCAAATGTAGCTCTATCCCCACTAATTTCTGGGGTTGTTTCAGGAAACACTAATTCTTGTTGTGCTAGTGGCCTATTCTGCTTGTGTGCCAGAACTAGTGGAGGCCTGGGACAATGTAGGATATACTCCTCTATATTTTCTTTTGAAGTCAGTATAGAAAATCTAGACTAGAACAGATGTAGGGGACAAGAAGTCAAGGAATACACATGTCTGTGAACCAGCTCTTTACTGAACCGTCACAAACTGGCATAAAGTATGTCCTATTCAAGAAAATGAAAGTATAGGAAAAATGAATTATTCCCAGCTGATGACACACCCTGCAGATTTCACATTCTAATACATAGAAATGTGCAAAGTGATAGCTTTCTCTGATTTTCATGAACCACTTTTCTGTCAGTAAAATTTCATTCATTTTTAGCTGATGCTGAAGCTGTCCTCTTTGCTGAAATCTTTACCTAATGTCTGGTGCTTCTCCTTCTGCATTAGAAGTAGCTTGTATCAGCTCTAAAACTGTTCCTTGACCTGCCAAGTTGCCACCTACTAAGTCGGTGCCTACAGATACTAATGATAAATGTCTCGTGAACTTGCAGCAGTAGCAGATTTCTTATGATTCAAAGACTCAGCTGAAGCAAATGTGCCTTTTAATAGACAGATGATACCAATTATGGACCAAAATTTTGGACCTTAGAAGGTGATAAGCATGCTTCCTGCAGTGCAAACCAAACTAGCAAACTGGCTCAAACTAGCAAGAAAAAAATGGCAGCCCATTGTTGGGCTATTTATTAAACTGGTATCTGTAGTCATGAGATTCTACCATTATTCCTTATTAGACTTTAGAGTGGAATATGGCATTTGTTGCAACAATGAATATTCAGTTCTAACATTCCTGATCTCTATTTCACCACCTTTGTACCCTTCCATATTGCAATGAATTTTGCCATTCCACCTTTTGGATCTTTTTAAAATTTCATTGGTACATATGAGAAGTCAGCAAGCAACCAAACCAGACACAACTTTATATGATGGTGTGCTTCACCATCTGTTGAAGGCGATGGTGAGAAAGAGGATGTGGCGCAGTAGCAGCTGGCGACAGCCATGATGAAAAGATAGCATCACTGAAGGAAGGGTTCGCTGAGCATGCCCTGAGCCCTCCAAAAGAACCTGCAGCCTGCACTGCCTGATGGAATAAATTTCACTGCACAATGTCATGCTTATTTACTCTGTTTGTTTTGTCTTCATAACGTCACTTATGTGAGAAAAAGAAACCGCCACACCTATGGAAAAGTGATGGACAATACCAAATAAGAAGTAAAATGGGTCACTCTACCAGTTTGTTAACAAAGCATATACAAAACAAATAAAATTTAAGACATTACTTATCATCTGGACGTTCACAGCATTTAGAAATACTGAATCAATGTGCCTATCTATGCAACCATCACTATTTGGTCCTTGCCATAGCCTCAGTGATAGAGTTCAGAGGATTCTCATAGGCTGAACAGTGCCTTGTTTAAACGGCAGTGTGTGCTGGCATGTGCTGGAAGGGATTTGCATAAGACGCAACTAGCAGTGGCTTCGCGTGTTGAACAAACCCTTGCTTTAGGGGAAAACAATCCCTGGGTAACTTCTAGACTGTTGTTGGGTTGTTTAGCCTATGATACAGCCCAGGACAAAGTAATTTTTGCAAAGTATTCCAAATCCTCCCTGGTTTTTTTTACAGGACATATGTACTAGGTGAGATGTCCTAGTGCTAATGCCAACATTTCTAGGCCTAACTATTACGAATAAATTAGATAGCTCAAGCAGTAAGTTGTTGATACAGTAATAAAAACCTTAGCACAAGTTTGGAAACCTATATCAAACATCATATTTCACAGGGCCATACTGAGCCCTTGCTTGTTTTAAACAATTGTGTACCGTGTTGCTGCTGCTTTAAACAAGTACATATTGATAGCTCTGCCATTCCCCTGTTCTCCAAATGCTAGGCACTAGAAATTATTGATAGTCACAGTTTAAATTAAGCATATGGAAATACTGTAGGTACCCCTCCCCTCAAGTTAGTAATCCAAAACACATTATTTGTTTTTCCTCTGTTTTCTGGGAAAACTTCAAAAAACCAACACCAACTGTATACAACCAGTTCTCATCTATGCATATATCTTTCTAGAATACATTAATATACCATTATTAATGTGCAATAGAAAGAACAACACCTGCTGTAACTTTATCTACTGTAAGATGTGGCTATCTTTTGTTTTGTCATTGCGTATGGATCAATGCTTATAGTACGTCACAGAAAAGAGAGCCTGTAGAAATCAATACAGGTAAGAATGTTGTATCCATAGCCAAATTGTGGCTGGATAGTTTTGCCTTCCTAAGAGCACGCTGCTGTTCATACATGATATGACGCAGTGTGTGTTATTTCCTCCTGCTGCTCTAGGCAGCTAAAACTCGCCATACTGGGATTTATTTTTATCTTGATAAGATGAAGGGTGAGCTTGGTAGCCAATGACTGCAATTATGCCAGATCTAAAT